TGCCTCCCGCCACCTTTTCCCCTGGCTCGTCGTCTTCCGTTCCGTCTCCGCGAAAGCATCGCCTCTCCACCCTTCGGGACCTACCTGGGGTCAGCGCGGAGCGAAGCCGTCCTCCTTCCGGCACCTGCGTTACTTATCCTCGAAGCGGGACCCGGGAGCGGGAGGTGCGCTTCGCCGTGCCTTGAAGGGCCCGTGTGGGAGAAAGGTAGCTGAGGGAGGTGGGGGGGCTCTCTCTCACACGCACACCTTCCCGTGTGTTTGCAAGACTGGCCTTAGCTTCCTGCTGCGACCCCGGCTCGTCCCACCCCACCTTTCCCGCCAGAACTTAACACCCCTCTCGAGTGCGGATGATGGAAAGTGCGGAGCCGAAGGGGAAGTTCAGTTCAGCCACCTGAAATTCCTTGTAGCAGACTTGTTGGGATTGACCAACTGTCCTTCGGGATTTGCTTGGATTAGCTAGTAGGCAGGTCTCCTGGGCGGTTGCGCCTCTTCTTCATTTGTTACTACATTAGTATCTGCAGGCCATTTAAGTGTGTAATTGATTGATGGCTTCCAGTCCATGAAAATGGTAAATAAAAATTAATGGGTGGCAAACCGCTTTGGGGACTTGAGCCTGGCAAGGCTGATCTTGGGACTTCTAGGCATTTCTCTGTACCAGGAAAGAGAGAGAGAAGGGAAGCTTCTGTGCAATTTTAAGTAGGAGATGCTTTGTTGGGGGGCTGCTCTTTGGCCCAGCTGGTTACATTTGCAGCTGACTGCCTAGGTGGAAAAGCATCACATCTGATGTGCTTTATGTGTGTTCATTGAGCCTGTTTTTTTACACCGCAGAAATGTGTGGCTTATGTCCCACATGGAAAGTATGCTGGGCAAATTTACCTGAATGTACATTCTACTGGATTTTGTGAGATATATATTTGAATATACTCTTTTTTTTTTAGATATAAATGTAAAACATGAGCCTCTGGATTCAAGGAGGTTGTGGCGTTCAGATGTTTCGTTGTTTGTGTGGGTTTCTTGCTCTCTGGAGGAAATCATTGGGAAGGCAATATGGTGAAGGAAAAAATGTCCATCTGTTCAACATCTCCTCTTCAAATTCTGTGGTTACTGTTCCCATCGTAGTTACAGAATCGATTTGATTTTTCTCCTGAACTCTGATTAATTTGTTACAAAGCGAAGAGTCTAGGAATTCAAGAATTCTAAATGCAGGGATTCCCAGAAGGCTGAACTGAGCTCCCAAACCTTCCACCCCAAGATTGATTCCTGGTAACCCTAGATTTTGTTCTTTTCAGTGGAAGGCCAGTTTACTGGGAGTGAGAGGTATTGTAGCTCGCTTTGCGAGCGGAGGCAGTGCAGATCAGCCAGTGAGCTGTTAACTGATGCAGACTGACCTTTGTCTACTGCTGGCTTAGGTATGACTGAATACTTTGGAAACTTCTGAGTGCTTATGAGGGAAAAAAACTCTGTAGAATAGGGTGTTCCCACAGTAGATCACCCTTCTCCAGTTCATCCTAGTATTCTCTTGGTGAGTTAGACTGTAGTTCCCATGATCCACAGCTAGCAAGGTGGAAATTTAAACTGTCAGGATGCAGTGCTTATGGGAAATTAAAACGGACAAAAATACTGTGCCGTTTTCTTAGGTAAGGGCTTATGAAACAATTTCTGTGTCCTAAAGGCCAGGGAATTTGTTTCTGAGACGCTAGTTGGCAGTTCTAACCATGTTTTGGGGGGAAGGGTGTTGTAATACTTTTGGACATAGTTCTAAGTGAATAAATTTAGCATTCTTACTGTTTGTTTTAATAAATCTGTAGCTACCCCTGTGCCATGGTTACTGGTGCCTCCTGTTTGTCACTTTATGGGTGTGGTGCCTGTGTTTTTAACATTGAAATGGGGAACTAATTTGTGTGGCCCTTGCAGTGTGATGGACTTCCCTGTTTCTTTTTGGTTTTTGTGAAAAGAGGGGATAATGGCACAACAGAACAGCCCTTCCTTCTCTCATCAAAGGGCAAGATCAGAAAGCATAAAGGAAACTACCCTGAAAAGCCAAGAACCTGTGCTAGGCCTATTCAGAATGAATCAAATCCTATTAGGGATGGATGTGCTATTTAAATGTGTGTGTGTGTGATGAAAGTATCCTAGAAACACCTGGAAACCTCTTCTGCCACTCACAGATGCCTCCTGAGGTTGCTCTTTCATCTATTTGTTTGAGGTTAGGAAGCAGAGATAGAACTCCCTCCCTCCATACTTTGAACTACTCAGCATGTCCAGGGGTCAAGGGGCTGTAGGAGTTGTTGCCCAAAATATGTTTGGAGTCTTCACACTGTCCGCCTCGCCCCTGCAGGTCTAAACGGTCTATCCTGTCTAAAGCAAAGGTAAATACAATATGTTGGGAGAGGGAGGGGCGTGTTTCTTAAAAAGAAGACTAGGTTTTGTCACTTAAGAACTTCAGATTGCCTTCCAGGAACTATCTTTGGGTAGTCAGCCCCTGAGCTGCATTTGAATCAACAGTTAGAAGGAAGCAGGGACTCATTTCCTGTGCAGCCCTTCATATCCCATAATAGTGTCCTGTGGTTAGGGCTGCCTGCTACTGTGTGCAGATACAACAGCTGTTAAAAGAAACTTGCTCTGCTGTGACTTGGGGTCGGTGGTTTCCCCCGGATGGCCAGTTCATTCTAGACTTTGTTAATCACCCTGCACCCTGCGAGTTGGAGGGGATAAGGTGTTAGACTGCCACACGCGGGTGACGTCTGTGCCAAAACACCTTGGCTACCGTGACATCACCGTTGTTCAGAACAGAAGTGACGTAACTGGGAAGAAACAATTACGGGAAGGGGAGAGGAGGCTCGGAGAGTGTGAGCCTGTGTGGAATGGCTTATAGCCTGATTTTCAGTGTTTTGTTTTCCCCCCTACCCCAAATCTCCCTGCTGGTTTGAGGTTAGAAGCAATATTTTGATATCTGCTTCCTGTGCTCACTGCCAGGCATGGGAGTTCCCAGACAAGAAACGCTTACAGTAATACCATTTCATTTGGGGATGGCTTCTACCTCCAGCTATATTAACCCATTTTTGAAACTCCTGGCCTCCACTGACAGTCCTGCTGTGTGTCCAGTACTCATTCTACAGCATCCAGATATATCTCTACGTCAGACAGGCCTCGGATAGCTGAGCCACACTTCTATCAGATTAATGGCATGGGTGCTCTTGTTCCCCAAACTTTTAAAAGGAATAAAAACTGTCCTCACAGGAGCCAGGTCGCTGCTCCTGCTCAGTGCTCAGGATCTCTGGCTTCTGCAGAGATTCTACCTCTTGCTATCCCGTCGTCCTTCCTCCAAACTGCTGAGCACAGAGTAGTGAACTACCTGGAGTCAGTTGACTTGACAGCTGATTTTGGGTCTTCCTGCTCCTACTCTCAACAGTCTAACCCCCAAACCATGTTGTCCCTCAAGGATAGCTTCAGGTAGTATGTTTACACCAAGAAACAAGTGGATCTTTGAGAATGGCATGACACCCTCTGTTGCAATGGAACCGTCTTTCCCTGTTAAGGCAATGCCTCCCGGATCTCAGCTGCAGAAATCCAGATTGCTAGAAGATAGCAGCAAAGAACCGCGGAAACCTCCATTTGTTGTCCAGATTTTGCAGGTCAGATGTGGTAGCTCCAGAAAGGCTTCCCTTGAAAAAAAAACAAGTCGAAAAGAAAGCTATGCTCCAAATAATTGCATAGCTGTAATTTTTATTATTTTTCACACAATGCACCCCTCCTGAGCCGCCATACCCAATTAAGTGCATTGGTGATCAGGAGTCTAGTAGCACCTTCCTGACTAACAAATTTCATTAAAAGGCATCAGCTTTTGTGAGCTGCATCAGAGGCATACAGTGGTCAGACTGATGTAGGGTTTTAGCCCCTCTGCGCATTTGATGAAGCAAGCTGCAGTTCACAAAAGCTTATGTCTTTTAATAAAATTTGTCGGTTGGGAAAGATGCTGTCCTGATTTTTTGCCACCATAGACTAACCTGTCTCTCCTCCTCCAGTTGGCGACTAATGTATCTCAGTTACTTGAGCTATTCCTGATCTGTTTTTCTGGCCTCTGTAGCTCATCAAGGTTGCATGGTGAAATTTTTCAGTGGTGTGGGTTTGGGTAGGGTTCTTATGGTTGGATGAAATGAAGAGCTAAAATTCGTAGGTATGTAAAGCCTTTGCATTAGGCATCTATTTTGCATTAACCCTTTTCAGCAGCCACCCTGAAAAGGGTCAAAAAGTTGACCTTGTCTTCTCCAGTGACATCACTCTGCAGACCATGAAGACTGGAAAAAAATAGGGAAGGAAGGGGCAGCCCACAGCCCAAAGATGTTGCCCACCTCTGCTGTAAAAGCTTTTTCAACATAAGCCACTATAAAGTCTCCAGCTTAGAATCAAAAACTCATGAATGCTGGAAATTTGTTTTTATCCTGTAATTGGTGACAGGACTAAACCCCAAGCCATTTCCTGGTAGGGTGCCTGTT